CTGTAAACTAATAATAATAAATGTATTTTTAAAATTCAGTGTGTGTGTATGTTTTATCCTTACCCCCATAAAAAAAGTAAAAAAAAAACAAGTAATTGCGTAAAATAACTTTATTAAAGAAAAAAAAATAACTAAAATAATTACCAAAAAATAGTCGATCGACTATTTGATAGTACGGTTTTTGTAATTCGACTTCATAAAACGAAGCTTTGATTTAACGCCCCTCCATATCTTCCAAAATATACGTAAGAGGGAAGGAACCACTTACTTTAACAATCTTGAAATTTTCGGGGTGTCCAATTAATTTCATAGCTTTTGTCAAAAACCGATTTTGTGCGACTTATGCTCACTGCATCGCCAGCTTTGAACTTTGACTTTTGCACTGCAAATTTTTTTTGGTAAATTATATGCGACAATCTCCGTTGTTGGGGTAATTTCTGATGGTTTCATTCCGGTGGTACTATGTTTTGTTTGGTTATATTTTGTTGTTATTTTTTTTTCTTTAATAAAGTTATTTTACGCAATTACTTGTTTTTTTTTTTACTTTTTTTATGGGGGTAAGGATAAAACATACACACACACTGAATTTTAAAAATACATTTATTATTATTAGTTTACAGGTAAATTTCTATTAAAACACAGGTATGTCCCATGCTATCCTTTTGTTGATATCTTGTTTTATCTGCATTTTTCCAAAACGCATGTAGTCCTCCATGCAGTAGCTCTGCTCACTCTCTTCTGTAGAACATAAATATTCTATATGCGGAAAGATTTTGGCGTCTTCCAGTAAATTTTCATGTATAGTCAAATACAATATTCTATCGTAGTACTCGTAAAAGTTCAAACGAGACAGTACTCGTATTCTTTTAAATACCAATTTGCTTATGGTAATTAATTCCTGTACCCAGTCTTTCGAAATATAGAGTATACCCTCGCTATTTTCAATCTTGACCAAGACTTCACCATCACATTGAAGACAGCTGAGTTTGAAGCAGGTTAAATACATAACTTTACCAGTCGGGCCTGCTAACAATAACAATGGAAGCTGTTGTATTAATTCTGTGAAGTCTATCTCGTCGAACGAAATGCTTCTTTTCTCCGCCAAAACGTAGGGGATAAAGCTCACTTTCACTGCCGGAGCGAAGATTCTTGCTGGGCTAAGACCTGAGGTAATTTCTAGTCCGAATTCCGGCAGCGTAATTGCTGCCTCGTAAATGTATTTTTGTTCGCGGATTATTTCCGCATTGACCACAAATCTTCCCCACGAATCCAATGCTTGCGTTGGATAATTTTCGACTTCGGACATTTTTCTCACTCTGCACTTATCACGAAATTGTATGAGTGGAAACTGAATAAAAAATTAAAATTTCTTATAGCTTATATATGTATAACCCCACCCATTCCCCAGATCCAAAGCGAACGCCGCACATACTTGTTTCGACAGGAAAAAAACCTGACGGAGAACCTCCATCCATCCCGATTTTTTTTTAGACAAGCTCTGACAAGAAAAAAGTACGTATCAAATAATGCGCCATTTTAAAAGGGGACATATTATCAATAGTGAAACTATTTATATTAAGATATACCTTTATCCTCTTTGCAAATAATTTTCTACTCGCTCACAGGTAGGATCATGAAGATCCTTCAATATTTTGTTGCACCAGGTATTTAGCTTAGCCTAGAATTCTTTTGAAAAATTATTATTTTTAAAAAAGGCGCGCTAGGTCAGTTGCCGTTTCAGCGATATTTCCTTGTTTCCCGTGTCGGAGTTTATCTCTTTTCTTTTGTGCATATTCTTGTTTTAATTAAATCTTGATTATCTTTTTATGCCAATTTTGACGATCATCTAATTTTTTGTAACTAAAATTAATTCAATAGAAACAATTAAGGCGAGATGATGCCCGGCAGCTGTTATATTAGGTATGAAAAAGTCAATTTGGATGAAGGAGATGCTTCTTTTGTCCCGACAATGTACAAGAATAAACCTGTCTAACCATAGCAAAATGGGGCCCAAAACTGTGACACTAGGCCAGAGTATGCGTTATTTGGAAGTTACATTTTAAAAATCATTTGTAAAATATTCACGGGGAGGGTGTCAAGGCGTCAATTTTTATAAACATCGGAGGTCAGTGTCGGAGAAATAAGGGTTCTTCCCTTTTCTCCTCGTCTCTTTTTAACTCCGTTTTGAGTAATTTGTAATAATTTGAGAAAAAAAAATTCAGTACCCGAAAAATGGACACACATTTGCAAGCAAAACAAAAAAAATAGGATACAAAAAAAAAACTATAAAATATAGGCGCCAATGCAGGCAATAGTTTAAATACGGGAAGTTACATTTTTAAACATAAATTCAGATTTTCGGTGGCAATATAACTCTATTTTTCATGTTTGTTAAGATTTATATACATAATATCAAACCAGGCTTTGGAAACGTCTGGTTAAGGCCACAGGCCATTAGCTTCTAAATAAACGCGAGATATCATGAAAACCGAAAAAGTTTGAATGGAATCTAACGTTTCCTTTTGTTTCTCAAAAATAGTAATTAAGCGGAAAAGTACTCGTAGTATATTGATTAATTGTAGAAATGTCTCATTTTCTACAAAACAACTTAAGTTAAATAAAATGCAAATTAAATTATTATAAATTACCGCTTTGTTGTATTCGCTATTTACTATGCCCCAACCTACGACGACACTGGAGGGTAGCTTAAAATTTGACCTGCTTGGTTTACCTGCCTTTCGTAGGAATGCGGGTTGTTTCACGTGTCAGTCGAAGTTTAAAGAAGCGTTTGTGTTAAGGGTTCGTTTCTGTTATACGCGTTTGTTGCTTAATGCAATATCGCCAACGAGTTTAAGTTTTGTGTTCAATGTGTGTTTCATATACGGATAAATAAAACAAAAAAGACTGGAAAAAGATAGGTAAGAAGCTTTCGGAATTGCGACTTTAATGAGTAACCGCGTAACATTTTGACCTAGTATTATGTATATGTTCGACGAGGTTTCTATACTTAATTAAAAAAAATTGGGGAGTGATCAAAGGAGGCTGAAGTCGGAGATACGGATCTTGTTTAGTATCAATTTTTGTTTAATAAAACAACCAAAAATGCTCGCTTACGTTTTTGAAGTAGGTAAAAAGGAAACAGAATTTTAATAGAAATAACGCACGATATATCTCCCAAAAAATTCAGCCATATGAACAACGCGAAGAAGTTAAGCAGATAAAATTTTACAAGATTTTTGGGGGGCCAAGTGTAAATTCGGATTGTGGAAAGTAACAGATAGAGAGAATGAGTGACCTATATAGAAAAAGAGAGACAGAAAGGTAGATTTATTTAAACGTTTCTCAATCATCCACTCATCGGAGATAATAAATAACATTCGCTAGTTTTTTTTTTGCATGTATTGAGTTAAGTTCGGAATAGAAATATATCAATAGTAACAATTTAAATATGGTAATTTTTGGGGATTGTTATACGTCCGCCAGCGTATTAAAAATATGGTTTTAGGGGTTAGAACTTTTAAGTTTCAAGAAAAAAAAACTCATGTTGAAATTTTTGTATTCGGAAGCTTCTGTTGTTTATTAATTTATAGACACTGGAAAATATAATAATAAAACATCCTACAGTTGACATACGTGTCCTCTTAAACTCGAAAAGAGCTAATTTATCTTAGAAGAGTACGTATTTTTGGTAAAATAGATATTTTTTATATTAAATATTTGACCGATCGATGTAATTCGTCAAGCAGAAACCGAGAAGAAAAGTGACGCTTGTGGTGTTTGCTGACAATCCGACCCTGCTTCGTGTACAAATGCAATGACATTTCGGCAGGGCTATAGGCTACGAAACCTTTCAAACTCGAAAAGGACGAACTGTTTTAAAGAAAAAAGGTACTTCATTTTTGGTAAAAGTAATAGATAATTTTTTTTTTTCGATAAATATTCCACAGATCGATGTAACTCGTCAAGCAGAATCCGAGAAGAAAAGTGACCGGGGGTGCTGTTTGCTTACAATCCGACCCTGCTTCGTGTACAAATGCAATGCCATTTCGGCAGGGCTATAGGCTACGAAACCTTTCGAACTCGAAAAGGCGCTACTAATTTTGAATAGGTACTTAATATTGGGTAAAAGTAATAGATAAGATTGTTTTACATTAAATATTTGACAGATCGATGTAACTCGTCAAGCGGAATTCGAGAAGAGAAATGACGGATGTGCTGTTTGCTGATAGTCCAGAAAGGCTTCGTGTACAAATGCATGGCGGGGAGACCAGAAAGTTTTCGAAACTGCGTGAGTGGAAGTCTGCGTTGGACAAATTTTGAAAATATCTGAAGGTTTAACGAATTTTGGAGAATTCGACAGAGCTACAGACTACGAAACCTTTCGAAACGAACACACGTGTCCTGTTGAACTTGAAAAAAACGAAATTATTTTTAAAAAGGTATATTGTTGCTAAATAATAGATTTTTTTTTAATTAAAATATTTGACAGATCATGGTAACTCGTGAAGCAACATCTCAGAATTGAATCGGGGAACGAGGAATCAAAAAAAGGTTAACAATTTGGATCATTTTGGAAGATACATACGCCGCGCTTTTCAAAGCGGACAGACGTGCCCTTGTCCAACTGAAACGAACACACGTGTCCTGTTGAACTTGAAAAAAGACGAAATTATTTTTAAAAAGGTATATTGTTGCTAAATAATAGATTTTTTTTAATTGAAATATTTGACAGATCATGGTAACTCGTGAAGCAACATCTCAGAATTGAATCGGCGAGTTGTGTATTTGCTGGCAATCCGAGCCTGCTTGGATCATTTTGGAAGATACATACGCCTGCGCTTTTCAAAGCGGACAGACGTGCCCGTGTCCAACTTGACAAAGGCGGAATTATTTTAGGAAAGGTATATATTTGTAAAAAAAATATACAATTTTTAAGTAACATATTTGACAGACCATGGCAACTAGTAAAGCAGAATCCGAGAATTCAATCGGCGGCTGTATGTTGACTGACAAGAATATAATTGCTGTTAATCCGGCCCTGCTTCTTGTACAAATGCATAGTGGGGAGACATGAACATTTTTCGAAATTGCGGCCCTATCCTCTTGGGATTCTACGTTGGACAAATTCTGAAAACGACCCAGAAATATAATTGGTGAGAAAATAGTTTTTTTGTTGTGTTAACAGTTAACAATTTTTTATTTTGGAAATAAGGGGTTTCAGTGTGTACTGGTATTAGTGAATCAATTTAATGACCTCAGCATCTCTAAACCCCCATCTTGAGAAGCGTTAACGATCCGGATCGAGTTACGTCGCGTAATTGTGTCACTTTTTTTAATTAAAAAATGAAAGAGATGTACCTACAATACTTTAGAAACCCCTACTCCCCTTTGGAGGTGATGAAATAAGTTTTGGCATAAAATATAAGTTCCTCGTATTACTTTGATATGATAAGTATAAGTCTTGCCTGTTTTTTTTTTAAAGGAGGTTCAAACCCGTGCGAGGTGAGGTTTGATATATGAAACAGACCAGTCATGGGGACACGAGATATGCAAAGTTTCAGCGTAGTCGTCGCCACATTGCTGCCAACACTGCATATATAAGGAATCACGAACCATTCAGGTAAAATTTTGAAAACACATATTTATGGTAATATAGAACCTCTCTTTTTTTTAACAGGAATATTGAGACTTAGACCAGTATCTTTTTAAGTAGGCATGTGGGGTAAAGAAGACGCAGAAGCTTCAGTCGGGTACCATCGGTAACGTAGGCGATTAATATATTTCCACCACTACATATGTTGGATTGGAATTTCCCATTTGATGCTTTGACTGACTAAATGAGGAAACTTGGAGGTAAGCTCTTACGGAATTCTATCGAAATATGTTTAGTAACATATTGGTGCATTACTCTGTCTTCCAGTCAGTTTCACATAAACTTTGCACGTATTATAGAAATGCCACCTACTTTTTTTGTGTTAATATTATTGAAAGTAGTAGCTGGTAGCTGTAGTTGTAAGCCCAGAGAGTCTCTGTTTTGAACATAATACACAAAATGGGGCGTTCAAAAACAATAGACTGCATGCCTTTTAGAGTCGGCGTAAACTATGGTCATATACCCCTGATCAAATTCAGAACTAGAAAATCGTTGTGTCTCTGCATTAAAAATAATAGTAAAATTTATTGTAGGCACCAAGTAGAGTATCGAAAATTTCCATTTTTAGTGCCAAATTGGTTACTCCAGTGAATTCCAACTGTTCTAATTTTTTTAAAATAATTTATGATGTTAGTGAGTTTCATTGCAATTATTTGTTACTTAAACTTTCTGCGTATTAAACCTTAATTAACAATACGCTATTCGTTAACGCAGGTAGAATTAATGACGCTGACTAACCTGATTTTGTCCAGGGGGGCGTAGTACGGTAGCTTGTACTGTGATGTTTGGTAGATTGGCGGTGAGCTCTCATTTATAAAACTGGGGAATGTTTCGTTATCTTCAAATCGTAAACACGTATCATTAGAATCATATTTTTAAAATATTGATTAGGACATGTACTAAGTAACTAAATGCTCTAGCAAAAATATTCACACATATTGCGTAAAACGTACAAATTTAAATTAGAGAAAATTAACTATTTTTAGAGGTTGGTTTTTCAAAAAGGCGGGGATTTAGTTAAAGAACAGATAGAGACTAAAGGGAAGCTCTATGAGAAAAGTTAGAATTAAAAAATCGATGTTTTCGTGTCATAGCGAAAGATGGATTATTATTAAAAATAATACTTGCATTAATTGTTGTCACCATTTGTGAAAAATATGGAAAATATCCTCTAGGTACGCATACCTTTTCTTAATTTTTTTAAGGTGGCTAACAAAATACACAGACAGAAAAGTTTAGATCCTGTTCGTTAATGTAGCGCATAGAAAAAAATTAGAAAAGAGAACGTTTCGTGTATGGCATTCGTAGTTAGTACGGAATATTAATCTGAAGGCTGCAAGACAGTGAAAGAGTGATGCGCTTAAGTGTGGTTCAGAGAGGTAATTTGGGCTGTAGAAGTTTTTCTTTGAACAGGGTTCAAATAGCGTCTCCTAGAGCGTTAGTAGAGAAGAGTATTACAGTATTTAATATAAGCGCCCAGATTTCATTATTGTTGAGATTGCATAGAAACACACTTTCATGTAGTAGTCGCAGCAGCTTTAAAGTATATGACTTTTTAGTTAAGATGCCAGATGCCTTTCGAGTTTGCTTTATGGCTTGATAGGAAATTAAAGGGTAGATACAGATAAGTTACGAAAAAAAGTATGTACACTATCCTCAAAGATCAGCAATAAATAAAAGAAATTGATGAAATAGTAAAGTTGACTGCGATATCTTAAAATCATCAATAAGATAGATAAATTAATTTTGAAAATATTAAATAATAAAAACAAATAATAAAAATAGCAAAGAAAATCAAAATCATCAATAAGATAGATAAATTAATTTTGTAAATATTAAATAATAAAAATAAAATTATAATAGCAAAGAAAGCCTACCACGGCCACATACACATAATATTTTCGACATATGAACTTTTCCCAGATAAATAGTCAAATATCTCACGATACCTTAAAACAGAAGCATGCGGAAATATGTATGAAGTTAACGCACGGTAGATGTCTTAGTAAATTAAAAAGGTATATGGTTTCTAATATCCTACTTTATTAATGAAAATTTTAACCAACTTTTGTTTTGCAGATATTATTGGTGGTGCCTGCCAGCTTCCAGTTCCGAGAAAAGAAATCCAATACTTTTCGTCTTTATTTCCCCTGTCCTTTGTGCGCAATAAAAGTACAGTTTGTACCCGCGAGGGTACACATTCGCAGAATTATATGTTTTTAAAATAAATGTTTTGGTTAATATTCAGTTAGGTGGGGTTACCTTATTAAAGAAAATCTTATTCCAAGAGGGGACACTAGTTTACATTCGAACCGCTAGATGGTGCAGATGGTCACGCGAACAATATGATCAAGTCTCATTGACGCCATTGCTTTTCTTAGGGGTGGGAAAATATCTGGGCTCTGATTGGCTTCGCCGCCATCGCAAACTAGAGGTGGGGAGATTGATTAAACCCCATTGGTGCTTGCTTATCCAATGGGAGCCAGTTTCAAGGGATTATGGGTAAAGGCGGAGGAGCTAGAGAGTCGTGGGTAAGGAGGACACGCCCACAAAAGGGAGAGGAGTGGGGGAAGCCTATATTATAGTTAATAACTACTGCCACTGACTAGTGTGTTCGGGTACTCTGCCTTTTTTTGCTCCCGTTTCTTTTCTCGCACCTCTCTAATATACTTTACGCACTGTTGGTCTAAGTCGAGCGAAATTCTCAACCTCGGCCGTTGGTCCACCATTCAGTGGTTCGCAGACTCTTCTGGATGCTTTGCCTTTTCCGGTCCCGTCTCCTCTAGACTTCTCAGTATCCTCCTTTACCAGCCGGACTTGCCCATCTTTGCCAGGAACCAACTCTATCACTCGACCAAGTGGCCAAGCCATTCGCTTAGTAAAGTCGTTAGTAATGAACACGACTTCGTTCAGTGCAATACGACGCTTAGAATCCTTACTTCCAAAGAATTTTAACTGTCCCAAATCGTCGGCGTAAGTCTTTTCGCACATTCGCCAAATGCAATGCCCTTTTGGACAGGAACTGTTGATCGACCAGGTCACAGTGAGGGACACCGTCCGAGGTGTACTCTCGGAGAAACATCATAGGGATCACTCGACATATACGTTAGTGATCGGGAGTTTATCACGGATTCACAGTCACATAGCACGGTGATTACTTCTTCATAATTTAGGGAATCTCAGTCTAGCATTTTCCGCACTAGTGGCTTGAAAACCACTACAAGTCTCTCTCAAAATCCGCTCACCATGATGCGGTAGTTGGATTAAAACACCATTTGACACGTTCTACCGAAGTAGTGACTGTTGTGCTGTTCCAGTCCAGTTTACCGAAAACATTATCCAAGCCGATAAAGAAGGTACCGTTAACACTTATACATGGTCCGCGGTGGGCCCCTTCGTGCGAAAAACCGGTGTACGAGAATAAGCGGCGTTCGGGATCACCGGAGTAGATTTCGCAGGACCTTCGTATTTGCGGAACTCGCAAAAGGTTTGGGTTTGTCGGTTTACCTGTGCGGTGTTTCGTGTTGTTCATTTCAAGTTTTCTACGTCTTCGTCCAGCAGCATAGCCACCGTGGCGAAAACGTTTTGAGCGTTTTATGGTTGCAAGCGGACAGAATCAAAAATCCGACAAAGAACGAATAATGTACGTTGTTGGGGAAGAAGCGGAAGAGGTATGGCTGCAGTTCAGGAACGCACCAACTACCTACGAATTAGCATTAACCGCATTCGAAAACCACTTCATACCCCGCGGAAACAATATTTTCGAACGATTTAAATTCAACAGCAGATCGCAGACAACCGAGCCAATTGAAAACTTCATTACAAATTTGCATTTTCTGGCCGAACATTGCCAATTCGGTGCTTTAAAAGAAGAATTGATAAGGGACAGGATCGTAGTAGGTATCGTAGATCAAAAAATCAGTAAAAGATTACAATTAAAACCGCAATTAACAATAACCGAGTGCGTCTTGGACGCCAAGCAAGTAGATACATCGTCCGGATTCTATCAAATAAAATTAACTAAACAGTCAACATTTAACTTGTTTCATAACTCCTTTTGGTCGCTTCATATTTAAACGATTACCCTTTAGCATTACATGTGCTCCAGAATGTTTTTCTATGCTTTTAAATTACCTTTTAAAAGGGTTTGATGGTGTTATTTTTCATATAGACGACATATTAATCCATGCACCTACACTAGAAAAACATAACGAAATTCTTTTTGAAGTTTTGAAACATACTCAGACAGAAGGCATCAGTTTAAATAAACAAAAATGTGTTTTTGGCGTAAAAGCTCTCCAATTCTTAGGACATTTGATATCTAGTTCGGGCATATCTGTAGATCCCGAAAGAATACAATCTATAATCAATTTTAAGATTCTTAGGGATGGTAAAATTTTCAAGTCGTTATATACCAAATCTTTCTCACGTTCTAGAACCGTTAACTTCTTTATTGAAGAAAAATGTAAACTTTTCATGGGGATTGTCCCAAAAACAAAGTTTAAAAAAAATTAAAGAATTATTGCAACAAAGCTCCTGTCTCGAATATTTTGATCGAAGTAAAAAAAATATAATTTCGGCAGATTTTGGAATAGAAGCTTGTCTAATTCAACAAGACAAAAGTGCATGGGTTAGGGAAGATCAACGCCATTTACAAAGGATACTGTGGAGAGCAGCAGAAGAAGTCAAGGTCTACAATTTAAACACGGTGACGTTTGGATTAACCTCAAGTCCATTTATAGCGGTAAGGTGTTTGCAGGAACTGGCAAAAAATTGCGAACAAACACAAATTTCAAAGGTAATTGGCAAGAACTTCTACGTTGATGATTTGAAATCAGGGGCCTCGTCGATTCAAGAGGCACTTCAGATATGTAAGGGTGTTTGTGAGGTTTTAAAATCTGGTGGATTTGAGCTCAGAAAGTTCAGTTCGAACAAGAAAGAGTTCTTGGAACAATTTGGAGTAAGGCCCAAGACAGAATTACAAGCTCTTAATTTAGGAGAGCATCAACACAAAACTTTGGGATTGTATTGGGACTGTCAGGCAGATATCTTTACCTACAGGGTGAGGGAATTTTCAAGTAATTCAAGTACCACAAAACGGAAGATTCTGTCAGAAATTGCCCAGCTGTTCGATCCACTTGGGTTAGTCAGCCCATGTGTCGTCATTCCCAAAATTATTTTACAAAGATTGTGGATTCTCAAGTTGGATTGGGACGATGAAGTACCGACCAATATTGCCCAAGAGTGGAAACAATTTAAGCAAGAAATGGTGAAATTAAACATGCTGCATATTCCAAGACATGTAGGTAGCAA